TGCTGAGATAATTATTTAGGAGAAAGAATTTCCTGCTATTTACTAAGAGAATTGCTAGACCTAGAGAATTGCTAGATCCAGGTCTCCTTGAGGTTTACTATTAAAGAAGAAACAGGAAAGATCTATTTGGGAAAGTTAAGGCCTCTGTAAAGATAGATAATGGTTAATTGGTGACAAACATCATAATCATTGTATTCCTTAGAGATAAGCCGGAAACAAGTGCCTGTCAGGCGATCAGCTGGTGACCACCTAAAAATGAAGCCATGCAGCAAGATTGTGTAACCTTTTGCCCTTTCTCATGAAGACTTCTGTTATAAAAGTTGGCTATCCTCTGCATTAAATCGCACTCAGCATCCACTCCTCTTGTGTGTGAGTTGTCTGTTTGCCATCTCCCCATCCTATTCCAGGTTCCTCCCCTAGGTATCCTCCGTCGTCCCGACAGAACCCAGTCCGCGGCAAGGGACTGGGGAAAGAACTGAGGGACCCCATCTCAACATACAGGTCGGGTGTGACAGTGTGACCTGTAATCCCGGCGGCGTGGGAGGGGCAGGCAGGCAGCTCATGGGCTCGCTTGGGGGAAAAAATCAAATACAAACAGGACCAGCCTGTGGTCCCAGATACTCAGGAGGCTGAGATCTGAGGATCAGGGTTCAAAGCCCGCCCGGGCAGGAACGTCCGTGAGACTCTTACTGCTGATGAACCACCAGAAAACCGCAAGTGGCGCTGTGCCCCAAGTGGTGGAGCGCCTGCCTACTGTACAGTTCTGAATTCAGGCTCCAGGACTGTTTCCAAGTATTTTTTTGTTCCAATCCTGAGGCTTGATCTCAGGGCCTGAGCGCCATGCCTGAGCTTCTCGCTCAAAGCTAACCCTGTCTCTTGAGCTGGTGCTGAATTGGATCTAAGAGTCTCCCGTACTTTCCTGCCCAGGCTGGCTTTGAACTGCGATCCTCAGACCGCAGCCTCCCGGGTAGCTAGGATGACAGGCGGGAGCCACGGACACTTGGCTATATTATTATTATTTTATATAGGATTTCAGTTACTGAGGAATAGTCTCAGGAAGCAAGATCTTTTGTTCACAGTCTAGATTTGGGTAAAGATCCTTTGTCATGGTTTTGGTCAGGTGTGGGGCTTGAACCTAGGGCCTGGGTGCTATCCGTGACCTTTGCTGCTCAAGGCTAGCGCTCTACCACTTCGATCCACGGCGCCACTTCTGGTTTTCTGGTGGTTCATCCGAGATGAGTCTCACGATCTTTCCTGTCCTGGGCTGGCTTTGAACTGTGGTCCTCTAGATCTTGGTTCCTGGAGTAGCTGGGATGGCAGGTGTGAGCCACGGGGCCCGGCTGCCGTGTTGACATGCTGGAAATGACTGGCCAAACTTGCCGTGCTCTGGGTTAGGGTTATCTGGTGAGCTCTGCCCGCTTCTTTGTGGGGGGGTGTGGGGGGGGTTGGGTGTGCTGTCTCTTTGGGGATCCAGAGTTTCCTCTGGCTGGGAAGCCTGGCTCCCAGGATCCGTAGCTCTGCCCACCCCCCTAGGACAGAGCCCACGCACCCCCTAAGGCTAGGCTGGCAGATGGAGGCATTTTTTAAAGACAAGACAAAAAAAAAAAAACACCCGTGGAAGGCTGGAGGGGGAACATCATCCTTAGCTCCTGCTTAGAACCAGCTGTTCCCCATCCTGGACCAAACAGGACCCGGATATGAGCAGATCCCATCCTGGTCCTCAGCCTCCAGCCCTGGGTGAGCCATTGGTGCTGGGGGGGGGGGGAAGGGGAGGAAGAGGAAGTTGGCTCACTTTCTCCCCCCCCCCTCTATCTTTACAGGAAAGAGAGTCTTGCCCACACACGCTTGGCCGGCGGGTGGGGAGAGAGGGGGGGGGAAGAAAAAGAAAAATCTGTCACACCACAAATGTGAATCTGAAATCTCATTAGAAAGAACCACACGGCTCCAAAATAGAACCCGCAATCCGCCAGCTCGTGACATCGTGCAGGGAAATCTTGGAACCCTAGCCTAGCCTGGCCCCGCCAAGAGAAGCAGCCAGAGGGAGAACGTTCGAGAACATTCTAGAACATTCCCCGCCCAGCAGAAGGCAACCCCCGTGAGATTGCTAAGTTTTAGCTGGTCTGTGCCCACCCCCCCCCTCACAGGTTCATGGGGGAAGGTTCCTGTTGGTAGACACACTCAGGAATCCTCACTCCGTTTATGTATTACTATTATTACTACCAGTCCTGGGGCTTGAACTCAGGGCCTGGGCGCTGTCCCTCAGCTCCTGCCCTAAGGCTACAGCTCTACCACTTGGAGCCATAGCTCCACTTCCAGTTTTCGGGAGACAAAGAGTCTCACGGGGACGTTCCTGCCCGGGCTGGCCTCGAACTGCGATCCTCTAGATCTCAGCCTCCCGAGTAGCTGGGATGACAGGCGTGACCCCTTTAAGTTCCCTGGCCAGGGAGCCTGAGGAGATGCCAGGTAGGCGGAGAGCTAGGGGGTGGAGGTGGAGTTTTTGGGGGGGCCAAGGCGCAGGGTGACACTCACGAATATGGGCTGCTGTCGTTCTTTCCAATGTCCGGTGGACGCAGTTTCTGAACCAGGATCCGGATGATACAGATAAACAGGATGAAGTTCACCTGGTGGGTGGGGAAGACAGGAGGGGTCCCCCCCCCAAAAAAAATGGTCACTCAGAGAAGGGGAGATGGGGGTGTCCAGTCTCTGGCTGCTTCCCCTGTGTATTTTTTTTAAGTTGGCTGTGGGGCTTGAACTCGGGGCCTGGGCGCTGTCCCTCAGCGCTTCAGCTCAAGGCGAGCGCTCTACCAATTGAGCCACAGCACCACTTCCGGTTTTCTGAGTGGTTTATTGGAGAGATCAGAGTCTCAGGGACTTTCCTGCCGGGGCTGGCTTTGAACCGCGATCCTCAGATCTCAGCCTCCTGAGTATCTGGGGTGGCAGGCGTGAGCACCGGCGCCCGGCTTGTGCATTACAGAATGACACCCACCGCCCCAGGAAAGGCCGTGGATGGGACGTCCGCGCTGTGGACCGGAATTTCCTGTGGGCCCTGCGCTTAGCCATCTCCCCATGCTCTGGGCCTCAGTTTCCCCTGACCTCTTCCGGTCCACGTGGCGGGCGGCCGTCTTACCAGGATGGAGGTGAGGATGGGGGCTTTGATGATCCACCAGAGGGAGGAGTTAATGGTGTCCCAGCACCTGCCGGGGGGGGGGTACAGAGAGAATGACGTGATCCTCCTCCTGCCCCCCCCAAATAAACCCCTCCCAGCTGGTCCCAACTGGACCCCGCCAGTCCTCAATTCCAGATTGTTCCCTTCTCGCCCTCGTCTAGCTGCATTTGCACATACAGCCATCTGTCTGCTGAGGATGCTTAAGTTTGGTGGGGGGGGGCATTATTTCCTTCCCCGGGGGTTGTGCCTGGGGGGGACTGGAAGTCAGGTGACACCGCTGGCCCCCCCCCAGGGGGACAGGAAGTGGGGCGACACTCACCCATGGTCCTCATAGTGGATCCGAATGATGGTCCAGACCATGATAAAGGTGCTGGGTGCACCTGTCAGGGCCAAAGGTGGGGGGGGGAGGGAAAAGAGGGGGGACGCGGGGGGAGGGCGTGGTAAGCACAGGAAAACGGGAAGGAGACCCAAGCAAGAGGTTTAGAAGAGACAGACAAAAGGAGACAGGAGGACAAACGTTCTCCTGGCCACCTAGGGTCTCCTGTAAGAGGGGGGCAGTGCTGCCGGGCGCTGGCGGCTCCCGCCTGTCATCCCAGCTACTCAGGAGGCTGCGATCTAGAGGATCGCGGTTCCAGGCCAGCCCCGTGGCGCCGTGGCTCAGGTGGTAGAACGCCAGCCTTGAGCACAGAGAGGTTCGGGCCCGAGCGCCCACGCCCCGAGTTCGAGCCCCACAACCGACAGAAACGAAGAAAAGCATGGTGGCCCGGTTTGATGATGCCCTCCTCCCGATGAACTCGAACTCCCCCCCACACACACACACCTGTCCCCCCCCCAGCTCCGCCCCAGCCTGGGGGGGGGCCCCCTCGCACCGTACCCCAGCCAATGACAATGTAACCCCAGAAGTACTTCCGCTCGGAGAAGAAGGAGACGGCGAGCAGGGTGTGCAGATAGAGACCTTCCACCAGCAGCCAGAAGAAGTTAGCCATGACGCAGTACTGGAAGAACACCACTGCTGCTTTACAGCCCACCTGCGGGGGGACAGGGGGAGGAAGGCGAGGAAGAAGAGGCTTGAACTCAGGGCCCCAGGCTGGCACTCTACTGCCCGAGCCACCCCTCCGCTTCTGGCTTTTTTGGGGTGATTCATGGGAGAGTAAAAAGAGTCTCCTGGTAGTTTCCTGCCCGGGGTTGGCTTTGGGAACCTCGATCCTCCGGATCTCAGCCTCCTGAGTAGCTAGGATGACAGGTGTGAGCCACCAGCGCCCTGGCCTTTCTTGGAAGATCTTCTGAGTCCTCTGCCTCCCTTTCCAGACATAGGAGCTCATGTTCAGACCCAAGCTACGTAGGTCTTGAGGGTCAGGGCATAGAGCCACCTCAACCAGGAAGCCGTCTGCCTCCCAGTTCCCCTGTACCCACAGCAAAAGCTCCCCACCCTTCCTTCCTGTGCCCTGAGATTGGAGATAGCTCCAGACCACGGGGTCCCTGCCCTGCACAGGGTTGAAAAACTTCCTTCATCAATGGGGGCAGCCACTCCAGCCGGTGCCCAGTGGCTCACGCCTGTCATCCCAGCCACTCAGGAGGCTGAGATCCGAAGGATCGCGGTTCAAAACCAGCCTGTGGGCAGGAAAGTCCGTGAGACTTTGATCTCCAATGAACCACCAGAAAACCAGAAGTGGCGCTGTGGCTCAAGGGGTAGAGCACCAGCCTTGAGCTGAAGAGCTGAGGGACAGCTCAGGCTCTGAGTTCGAATCCCAGGACTGTCACACACACACACAAGAAAAGATGATGCAGGGGGGGGGGAAATAAAGGAGGTGCCAAGGTTGGGGGGGTCTTTACCGAGCCTTCAGAGCAGTGATCCGACTGCCCGCTGTGGAAGAGCGCCAGATCTTTGATGAAGACGGCGGCCGCTCTCAGGATGAAGGACAGGAAGAGGTGCATGTGGATGTAATTCCGGGTGCAGTGCAGTTTTCTGCATTGGGGGGGGGGATCTTATAGTCAGAAGGCATCTTAGGTCCCGCCCCCCCAACCTCACCCCAGCCAATAGGAAGCCGGCCATCCCAGCTCCCGCTGGACACGGTTGGGGCCTTCTGTTTTGGGGGGTGCCTGGCATGGGGGGGGGGAGATGCTGATCCTCACCTGAACAGGGTCAGGATGGTCATGGCCACCAGGAGGGTCGCCAGGGACAGGCTGTAGCCGATGGTGTAGCCGGTCTTCACCGAGTGGTAGAACATGGTTTGTTGCTGCTGGGGGGTGGGGGGGAGGTGAAGGGTGTGGGGGGGTCGGCCCTGGGGGGGGGTCGGCCCTGGGGCTAGGGCTGAGGGGGTGCTGGCCGCATCTGCAGTCCCTAAGCTTTGGGGTCCCCCCCCCTGTGCTCTACCAGTTGAACCACGGCTCCCCTTCCGGCTTTTTGCTGGCTGGGGGGGTGGGGGAGGAGGGCCACACGGGCTTCCCTTGTCGGGCTGGCCTCGAACCGTGCTCCTCGGGCCTCAGCCTCCTCCTGAGTCGCTAGGATGACCTGGTGCCCACCTGGTCTTTCTGGGCCAGTCCTGGGACTCGAACTCACGGCCTGGGGCGCTGCCCAGGGGGTCGGGGGGGGGTGCTGGGAAGCTGGCCCAGGGGCAGAGGGCTCGCCCAGCAGGGCTGAAGCCCTGGGTTCGAATCCCCAGCACCACAGGCACAGCCCGAGCCCGCAGTGGCGCTGTGGGGAGAACGG